ACAGATGTAATGCAAAAAAATCGTTAAATTCCATTCGACGGCAGTCAAAATGAATATTTTCGTTGAAATATGATACCCGGAAATTTTTGTGATTACAATACTTCCTTTACTTCGTACCAAAGAAGTAAAAACCGAATATTTGTGTGTCAACATTGAAAACAAATATTTCTAAAAGAAGGAAATTAGACGATAGAACAACAGTTTGAAGTTTTGTGCTCAATATGAAATATTTGGACGCTCAAACCATATCTTTCTAGTTTTTTACTCATTCAAGTATTTCAGCGAATGGGCTTTTGTTAACAATATTTCCTTTACTTCGTAACAAGGCAGCAAAAAAAGAGTTCATTTTGCATTGACACCGCATTATGAGCAGTTCTTTGTCGGCATGGAACGTACCTAGAATCTAGACTCTTAAAAAGGCATAAAGTGAACGCTTAAGAGCAAGAAACAAAAGAATGTATCTTGCAAATGTAAATCTAAACTTGTCGGGGAATACAAGTTTAAAATTTAAGTACAAATATCAGTAAAATATTACTAATTTGTTTGAAAAAACGTGTATATGTTACTGTTACTGATTTTGTTATTGGTATGTTACTGATACTGTTATAAAGTACTGTTATAATTTACCTTTCATCGGTTGACATGTGAAAAATGAAAAGACCAACATGAAATTCTTAAATTTTTCTAAGTTGAAGACACATCTGTTAATTTTATGCATGGAAAAAGTAAATCACATGTATACTACGGACAGATAGAAGACGTGAAGAATATAAAAATACATATCTTGTCAAATGAGATCTTATATACAGGCTGTAACACAATTAGTAGTAAGAAAATTAAAGGGTGATGGAACATCGCAAATGGAATAATTTTCATTATACGATCTGAATGTGAAATGCGAACATGGAAACACAATAGGAGGAGAAACATGGATACAGAAAAGACTTAAGACTTAAGAGAACACAAAACATAAAATCAGGCAAAGCAACAACTTTGTATTTGAAGATTTTGGTCAACATTCTATCGATTTCGAGGGCAAACATGTCTAATGTCTACCTTCATCAGGAGCAAAGAAATCTGCAACTAAGCCACGATTAATATTTACATCCAAAATAAGTAAAGCGAATGAGAAGAAAAATTCATCAGTCTGTAGAAATAGTAATGAAAATTTATAAATTAAGTTAAAAGCATTTTAAAGCGTTAAGAAGGACTAGATGGAAATGAAATTCGTTAGCAAGACAAGATAAATCTTCGTGAAATTGAAAAGCTTCAAGAAAACCCAGTTTATTAATGGAAGAATCATTTTCGGATAATTTTTGCAGAGCCAAAGTCAAAATCGTCATTAAATTTCCTAATGTGATTAGCTGTCAAAGGCTTGTTAATTTTACCTTTTCGGACATGAGGTTCGTGACCCTTGATGCGAAATTTTTATGCTGTTTTAATTTGGCCAATATATCTCTAACCACACAAACAAGATGTGTCATAAATTCCCCAAGAATTTCAAGTCCCAAATGGAAACTTTAAGAATCGGCCCGTGGATATTATTGATAGACGAGAAAGTTACTTGAAAATTGAACTTATGAAAAGTACCTGGAATTTTTAACTGATAGAAGTATGAAATAGAAGTACGTCAAGGTTATTAATGTATTTCTAACAGCAGAATGTCTTCTTTGATGGCAAAAAGAAAAAATTTAAAGGTTGTTATCAATGAATCCGAGAGAACATCCTCGGTCAGTGGCAACTGATCTCAAATAATTGAGTTCATTAGCAAGCAATATTTCCGAGGAACAAACGTGTAAAGCGTGAAACACGTAATTTCAATTTATCGCATATTTTTTAATGTACGGTTTGAAAAGCCTGTTATTTGTGCTTGTTGTTAGATCTACGTTACATCAGTAGCAATGATATCAATTCTGCAAACTGTTTGAGTATTGCGTTTTTATGAAAATTCATCTTGTTGAGTTAAAGTTATAAATAACCATAATCGTTTGAAAAAAACTTGATTTAATTTCTAAATGGAGCACAAAATGCATTACTGACGGCTAAACATAGAAACTGCTTGATACGCTTTTAATAGACGGAGCAAACGCATGCCCGCGAATTATCACCGAAGGAAAGGAGCAAATTTTGCAATATTTACGTTGCGCGTGGAATAAGCAGAAGCCGAAGAGCTTTATTAAAAATTATCTTTTGATTTAGCAAATGAAACCAAAATATTTATGACACTAAAATGAAATCGAACTGAAGATAGCAAATCTAGCGCAAAAATCGTCTTAAAACAAGAAGTCAAAAAACATAATTGAAGAAAATAAAATCTTTCCTAAACTAATACTTCCTCACTTATGGGCAGAAAGAAACGAAAAACAGGTTGAAATGAATGAACATAACCAAGATGAAATTGCAAAGAATGTGGCACAATGGAACTCTCCCCAGAAAATCTGCCAGAATTTTCAGTCACGAACAGATGGAATTTTCACAGCAAAATAGATTTTTGTCATTCAACTATGAGACGAAAGTAATGAGATGAAAACCTTTTGAAGCAGCAAAGAAAAAATTTCCCCCGTTTATGATTACACATACTGATATTTACTGGTCTTTACTTGGATCAGCGCTTTTAGTTAAGTTTTATGGTTTAGTTACGCGCAGGATAAACTGTGAAATAGAAGTAAAACTATATTCCATATATGTTCCTGCACAGAGTCGTGAATACTTCATCCGATTTCAGATAAAGCTAATAACGATGAACATAGCTTTTCACACGTATTAAATGAATATTAAAAGGATCATCTCCAAAACAGCTCCTAAAGAAAACAATAAAAGATGATTTAGCAAAACGAAATTTTCTAGTTCTATAAATGAAGAAGTGTACGAGAAAGGCGAACACAGTATTGAGAAACTTCCCCATACATTTCTTTGAACTGGACAAAAACGAAGTTGGTCTATCCATTTTAAGGTGAACAAATATTATGTGTATTAATGTACATATCGAAAAATATGAAGAGGATATAGACTCACTGATATAAATTCCTGAGGTTCGGCCACAGACAACATCTGCCCTTCAATATCATACGTTGTGTGATCTGCGGTAAAACTCACACAGGGGAGTGCCGAATGCCTTAAGCCAAAAGGAGAAATCTGTTTGTGTTTTCTGGAACGAACTTAATGTCAGCAGCTATCGTGGTTGACAGAATACAAAAATAATTTGTCAAAAACCTCCAATAAAGACTGAGCAAAAAAAAAAAAAAAATTAAATCAAATCTTGAAAATAAAAGAAAACGTTCCTGAACTATCGAAAAATTCAGAAGCGATATCACTTCCACACAAAATAGAAGGAAATACAGTAAAATACTAGAAAATTCAACAGAAAACTCAAATGAAGACAGCTCAACTGACATAAACTGAATAAGCATGATAAAAGATAAAACAAATATTTTATTTTATTTTAAAAGACCTGAAGAAAACAAAGTCATCGGCAGAAATGCTAACCACCAATCTAAAAGCAGCAGAACTATTCTTGAATCAGTTAGTTCAAGGTAATCTTCGAAGATAACCTCCAGCCAATTCGGCATCAGAGATGGAAATTTATCACGATCGTCTGAAATAGGTGAATTAGCCACATCCTGTGTCATCAAATGGCGGTGCAAGAAACCCTTTTTTTCACCTTATCGACGCTCGTAATATCATACAAAAAGCACCGCCTTAGAGCAATAACTCCAAAGCATACGTAAATAGCAAATTTTTGCTAAAACGCTTAAACGAGTACCATTCGGTGCCAAGTTTAGAAGCAAATTTGCATTGCAAGTAAATTACTTGCTTTGCTCTTTGCTTTCGCCATACAATAAGACGATATTAGATGACAAAAGTAATTGAGAAAGCAAAATAATTTAAGTGACAAAGTAAGATATACCCATTGACAACATCCCCTGTGGTTGAATACTCCGGCTTAGTAATTTACTGTAGCTCAGTATTTTACTATCTGGAGGCACAATAACTCTAACCCGGTTTCTATACAGGGAAGCCTATGCATTCCCGGATGGTCGTGGTTTAGACCATCAGAGATCTCTCTACCTTATTGGTCTCCGAGGCGTTAGGTTTGACGAGCACCCAGAGGCCAGGTTCAGCCTTGAGAGTTGTTCTAAAAAGTCTGCGTTGCGGAATTGAGGCTTCAGTAGCGTAGTAAATGATTTTGCTGATTGGTACGCAATGACAACAAATTATGGCTGGATAAAGATGGTGATGTTATGCAGAGAATCAAGCAATAATTTACAAAAAATGATAGTAGGTCTTTCTTTTTTCTTTTCTTTTCTTTTTTTTTTTTTTTTTTTTTTTTTTTTTTTTTTGATTTAAAGAGGCGCTGCTGTTTAATGCGTAGGATTGATTACCAACGGAAATGTGAGGATGAAATGACACATGAGCTGTCACAATACAAATATATTTTCTATTTATTACATTTATTCCTTCAAAATGATCTCATGTAAAACTGGTCGATGGTATGAGAAATTAGATGCATAATTTAAAATGTCTGCAGTTATATTTACAGTAAGTCTAAAATTAAAAAATGAATTGCCATGTGTACTTGGATATTTACCTGCTTTTGGATTGGATTGGATTATTCAATTATGCCAAATCACACGAGGGCTATCTGCCTAAAGGGAGGGATGCCTTCGTGGAGGAATTTCTAAGGGAAACTGACTCGTATACACGTTACACTTGGGGGAAAACTACGAAAACTCCCATGCAGCCAGCTCGTTCGCGGGATTCGACCTCGGACCGAACTACCAGTGTTTAGCGTCTTTACCGCTCGGCCGCTGGTGGGCCCTTATCCTGCTTATGAATAAAATAAACTTTGTAAATTAATATGTTGCTGTGATTGATTTGTTTCATTATAGTACTAGGAAACTGGCAATTCACGTCGTGTTCTCTTGAATCTCGAAAGCAGTAACATCTGGTAAGAATAAAGAAACTAGTTAAACAGTTCTAAAAACTGTCCCGCAGTTCTAAAACAGCCAACATTTTTATTGAAACGATACGTAGTGTTGCAAAAATACAGAATTATGTGCTGTGGAATATTTCTCATGTCAAATTTAAAAAATACAGAACTGCTAAAGCTATATTATGTTAAGGTTTACGAAATGCTCACAGTAAACATTTTATAGTGAAACAACTTTTGAGTTCAGAACTAAACTATTTTCTAATCCTTGTCGGACTTTACATCACTGCACCTAGCTTTTTAGGAAGGAGATTTCTGGAATTTTCTGGTTAAATTTCTCAGAATGTTCGTACGTCATCCGAACCTGCTCCTGGAGCATCCCAAAAAGTCTTCAGTGTTGCCAACTTGGTCACAGAATTTGCTGTCAAAACACGCTGGATTTCAGTAGACGATACCCAAGTTCCTACTGGAGCTTGTTACAAATTTCCAACAGTTATCTGCACAGAATTTAGCAAATTTATTTAAAATAAATTAAATAAAACAACAATTATAAGGAACGTAAAAGAACTAAAAAAGAAAAAACATAAAATAACAAAATGCAAGGAACTATAAATAATTAATAACATAAAAATAGACAAAAATAAATATAAGACAATTAGGTATTTGCTAATACACACAAGCATGCTACATAAACAGTTAAATGCTAAAAAATAAAGAAATTCGCGTAAGATAAAACGAAACTGAAGACGATAAACAGAATCAGAACTTCTCTACATAAAAATATGACACAGAAACGAAATCAATCGCATGTGTTCCACATTTTAAAGTGGCAGACGATATTTCCGTTCTTATCGACTGAAACCAGAAAAGGTATGAAATACGACGAAACCACCGACGAAAGAGCATGCAGGGTATAAAAATTTTGAAACTTTGGTAATCAGTTCCGCTTCATAGTTTGATATTTTCCAAAATTTCGTTCAGATAGCGTTTTCTAACATTTCATTGGAGAAGAAGAAGTATTTTGTTATTTATTGCCTTTCTTCGAGCAAAGCTGAGTTGTAAATTTCTTAAACACGTCCAAGATTTTGTTACATCAAAGAAGTCTTACCATTAAATACACATTTACTTACAGTTCTGGCGCATTATTTCTTATTTATAATACCATGAATATACACATCTTGGTTTTAAAGCATAGTTTGAACAAGAACATATTTCATATTTGATGCTGTAAAACGTTCTAATTAATAGGGGTGGGTAATGTAATATCGTTTTTTGAAATTCTGATTATTATATTTTGTGCATTAAATTCCTGATTGCTTTGGAAAATATGAAGTCGTTATTTTGAAAATAATTTGCTTCACTAAAGAAAATGTTTTGGTAAAAAAAACGTATTTTGATAGTTATTACAGATAATTTAAATTCTCAGCATAATTTATGCTTTAAAACGTTAATTTTTTAAATACTGAAAATAAAACTAACAGTGAAATATGATCGTTTTCTTCGCTTAGTGGTGCTGTATATCTATTATTCACCAACAGCCATGGATTTAACCATCCGTTATGTCATTTTATTACACTCATGTCTATAAATTAAGGATAATGCAAAGTCAGGCAATGGAAGATTTAGAAGCAAAACAAATTTGACTTATTTGTAAAGCTTATTTATTAAACAAAAGGTAAAGAGCAAAAAAGATGCTATATGTTTGATATTATTAAAAAAATTACCGATTTTTCTTCCTGGAGCAAATTACAAAAAACACATGTTTACAAAAAACCAATATTACATGGTTGGTATGATTGGTAATACATTGTATGTCTCCCAGACGATGCAATACAGTCCGTTCAACGCCTAGGCATGCTGAGTATCAAATTATCGATCTGATCTTGGGGGGATATTACACCACTCAAAAAGCAATGCTCTCCGAAATTCCGGTAGACATGTAGGAGGAGGTTGGCGGGCTGCACCTCGTCGGCTAAGCATGTCCCACACGTGCTCTACTGGATTCAAGTCCGGTGAGAATGCTGGTCAGTCCATACGGGTGATATCCTCCGATTGAAGGCATTCGCTTACGATGTTTGCACGGTGAGGACGGGCGTTGTCATCCATAAACACAAATTGTGCGCCCCAAAGCAAACGTATATGTTTTCCCAGAATGACGTTCCGATAGATTTGGCTTGTCATGGTTCCAATTTGAACATGCATATCAGTTCTGGAACCCAGAATAATTCCACCCCAAACGAGCACTCCTGCACCACCGCAACGGTGTCGTTCAATGATGTTTTCTTGGTGGTATCGGGTACCTGGAGCTCTCCGTATGGAAGTCCGACTGCAACCTAAACCTGGACTCGTCGGAAAACATCACACAAGCCCACTGTTGCGGTGTTCACAATGCATGTTCTCTACTCCAGGCTAACCGCAGGCGTCAGTGAGTTTCAGTAAGTGGAACGCATCTGACAGGTCTACGAGCATATAGAGCAATCTGTCTAAGCGTCTGTACACGGTCTGCCTTGAAATTGTCGTACCAGTGGCTGAAGAGAGCTAACGAGACAGGCCTGAGGCTGTGCTCCGCCTGTTTCTTTTGGCAGTAACTGCCAAATACCGGTCCTCATTCGGCGTTGTAACTCTGGGGCGACCTGTGTTGTAACGTCTACTCACATTACCATCATCTTGGAATCGTTGCCAAAGCTTGGAGATGATACTCTGGGAAATTCGATGTTCGTCTGATACTTCCAGCTGAGTACGCCCACATTCCAGACGGCCGATAATTCTATCACGTAAAAAATCATCCAAATGCGTCCTTTGTGTCATAACTATTCGGTTATTGCACTGAAATGCTTATAAAGCGCTTGCGAACAATTTTACTTCTTTGCCTGTATTCCTTATATATCACTCTCTTACACTCTCGTCATTGCGACGTATCATCGGTGTCATCTGGTTACATCCTGAAATTTGCATATGATTCTTGAAGATGTGTGTAGTGATTTTACAGGTGATACATTTATTTTAGAGTTCGATTTCCGCGTGACTCCGAATTATCCTTAATTTATGGACATGAGTGTAATTATAAGTGTATTTTATATTATTATTTATTCGAATTTTAATTGGAAAAATTTGTTTCTGTTTACATATTTTTGCAAAAGCAAATAACATATATAATACTTTCTCATAGCTTAAGCAGAAAACATTCTAGAAGTAAAGAGAATGAGAAAGAACGATTTTAAAGGTATTCCTCTTTTGGGAAGGGAAGAATGCGTGTTTCCATCTAATGAATGCAGAACCTCCTAGAACAGGGATTCGATTGCCTCGTTAGCGTATTGGAGTTACTCTACTAAGTAGCGGCATGTACACTGCGGAAAAAAAAAACGGGGGTGAGTTCTATATCTCCCGTTCTACTTGGCCAATTGACAAAATTCAACTTGCCTTTTCCGTGTCTCGAAAGCGCGACACAGGATATGCATTACATTTGCATATGTCATTGTTCTGTTATAGGTATTTTGACACAAAATCAGACATTTTCTGAAATGACATGCCGAATGTTTTCCACATTTCGATTCTACTGCTCAAATTACGCCAAATTGTGTTTTGCAAAATTCGCCCGGGTAGATTTTAAAAAATTAGCTCTCAAAATGTTAGCTCCTCAGTATTAATTGAATTTGATATATATTTATTATCTATTTTTTATTAACGTATATAATTCACCCTTTCATATTTCGAAATTTAGATTCATTCCAAATAAAATTCGCCCATTTTTTACGATTTATTTTTAAAATTTGTATTCTTAAATGATTTTTTATATATTTTTCGAAAACGATTATGAATTATAACTTAGAAACTTTTTGCCATCGTCTTAAAGTAGATGTATTTCTAAGCATACCTGCAAAAAATTAGTTTTTTATTCAAAATTTCCTATGGTATGCGTGAATTTACATTTAGGCGCGTTTTTAAAATTTGGGTTTTTTATTCTAAGCGATAATAACGAAAATGTGCTTTACGGACTTTTTTTAAATTATTTGAAACTCTGAGCGATGACTTTTTTCCGGTCGTGGACAATGTAAAAAAGGAAAAGAAAAAAAAAGTTGCTAAAAATCAAGAAGTTCGCCAATTATTCTTGGCTCAAACTGAAACCAAATGCGCCATTCTTGGCTCAAACTGAAACCAAATTTTAATATCTAGGCATAATTTGAGTCGTAGACTCGAGATATGGAAAATAACTGGTATGTTATTTAAAAAAAAAAGTCTGATTTTTTGTCGAAATATCAATGTTAGAACAATGCTATACATAAATATAATATATATCTTAAGTCGCGCTTTAGAAACATGGAAAAGGCAATTTGAATTTCGTGAATCGGTCCAGTAGAATGCGAAATATAGAACTGCCGCCTTTTTTGTACATGTAGTACATGTACACTGGGCAAAAAAAAGGGGGCGACAGTTCTATATCTCCAGCGTCCCTGAGATCAGTATAATTATCCGTGCTCTTAAATTTCCACTGCAGACATTTTGCACTATCAGTGCTTTAGGTGTTTAACGAGCTCATGAGCTTAATAGTACCTGCTGGTATATCACTTTACATGTGTTGTTTCCATGCTTTACGTGTGTTGTTTTTATGCTTAATATTTCCTTTAAATTATTGTGTTTAATTTAGAAGTTATTTTGGATAGCTTAAAAAATATTCCACTTTTCGTATTTTTTAAATGAAAAAAATAAGTGAATGTTAAACCAATTAACATGGTATTTAACCCGAAGTTCCACTGATGTGGTGTTCGAATATTTTAAGTTAAATTCACTTGTATTTAGTACATTGATATGGATGTGCTAACCACTATACGAAATAGTTCTTAATCATTATTTAAGTTAAATTTAAATAATTTTAATTTGATTTATTTTATTTCAAATGGTAATTACAGTTTTCTACATAACATCTTTGCGATCGTATGTATACTATACCCTCAGCCACCAAAGCATTTTCACCGTTCCAGTCACATATTTGCTGTCACCCACCATAGCAAACAAACATACTAATCTTATATAAAGCAGCCAAGCTTCATAGTCTTGTATATTATAGGAGGGTTGGAACTTTAAAAGTGGCAACACAGCTGAAAAAACGCTACGGAACAAAACCAAAGAATATCGCGTATACCACATGTAAACTACATACCTACCTTACCTCTCAGCAAAAAAACTCGTCCTGCCTACGTCACGCGCATGCGGAGTGACGCGAAGAACGAATCCTTGTATTAGCTCGCGGTCTAAAGTAAGTGTTGTCAGGATGTTTTCAAAACAAGAACAACGATGTTGGACAAAAATTGAATTTGCCAGAGGTCGTACAGCACGACAGTGTCATCAAGGGCTTCAAGAGGCTTTCGGGGAATCTGCATTGCCTTACAGAACCGTAGCAAGATGGGTGAAAGCATTCAATGAAGGACCCCAAAACGTGGCAGACATGCTGCGGCCAGGTCGTCCGAGTGTCAGCGATGCAGACGTGCAAGCTGTTGTGATCGCCGCCAAACGGTTCGTCAGCTGGTCGGACAAACAGGATTAGCGCATACGACTGTGCTGCACAGTCTGAAGGAACGCCTGTCCATAAGAAAAATTGCTTCACGACGGGTTCCACATCAATTGACGGAAATGCAGAAATGGCTACGATATGATGCTGCCTGAACCCACCTGGAGCGCGAAGGAGATGCTTTTTTACGCCGTATCATTACGCTGGATGAGACTTGGGCCCGATCGTACCAGCCAGAACTGAAACGCCGATCAAACGAATGGCATCATGACGTGTCACCACGACGTTCGAAATTTCGTCAGAACCCCAGCAATGTGAAAGTTATGGTGATTCTCGTGTACGACTGTGATGGTGTCATCCTAACGCATACCGTTCCCCCACAGCAGACCGTCACTGCGCAGTATTACTGCTCATTTTTGGAGCACAATCTCCGACCAGCTTTGAGAAAAAAACGGCGACACTTTCTGCAGAACGCTCCTCTCATTTTGCATGACAATGCTCGGCTGCATGCAGAAAAAAACGGCGACACTTTCTGCAGACCGCTCCTCTCATTTTGCATGACAATGCTCGGCTGCATGCAGCTCAGGCTGTGACTGATTTGTTCAAGCGATGGGGCTGGGAAGTGCTTTACCATCCACCATACTCCCCAGATCTAAGCCCTTGTGACTATGACTTAATTCCTAAGATGAAGGAAACACTTCGTGGCACTCGCTTCTAAACTGTTCCTGAGATTCTTGCGGCAGTAGACCGGTCCATTCAAACTATCAACAAAACAGGCGCTGCTACAGGTATTCTGCGACTTCCACATCGTCGGAAACGGGTTGTACACAATGCTGGCGACTATATTGAAGTGCTGTAAGACATGGTGACATGAATCACTTTTGTATTCCTTGTAAATAAATAGTTGCCCCTATTAAAGTTCCAACCTTCGTATATTACGGATTCTTCAACAAAAATTTATTCCGATCACTATGAAATCTATGTATAAATTTTATACGTTCATAAAGAGTCAACAACTGCTTAACATTGCGACAAGCCTTGGTTCAAATCTCAAGCATTGAACTGACTGATTATACATTGCTTTTGCTATTTTCTATGTGTTAAGGTTTCTTTGCAAAATGCTCTACTAAGGGAAGACAGGTTTCTAATACTTTGGGTGACATTCTAAGTTTTGAATATTTATATTAATTCGTTAAAATTTTATTGTCCTTATTTTCCGTCACAATAGTTCACCCAGTACGGAAGTTCTACGCAAATTTCCGATATTTTCTAAACCTTTAACGATTTTGTAGTTAAAAACTTTACAAGTTCAAAGAGAGCAGTGGCAACACTGTAGGGAATAAAATATTTTTATCTCCATCACGCAAGATGTCTATAACAAATTCTGAGGATATGCTGTTTTTAAATAGTTTTAGTTCAAAGTGGCGTTAACCTAAAGGCTCTCAAAACGCAAATGTGCTGTAAATGAAAAAGAAAAGCTCGTTTGGGCGTAATATAATATCTGAAAGATTTCAGATTTTTTAAAAATATTTTGTGCAGTAAACTGATATTTGTTTTAATGAAAAATGAAACAGAGCTTTTTAAAATCATGTACATAAATCCAATCGTCGGCAGTTTATTAATCAATCTGCAAATTCGTCATTTCTGATTGTCTGAAACATTTGTACAAATCTAATATTTTCTTCTCTTTAAATACGCAAATAAAAATTTAATGAGTCCGTTTCTTTTTTTAAGAATACAATAGAATTTTCCGTATCTTATCGATTTAAGTCAATAATAGTTGTATAAGATTTTACCAATTCAAGTAACATATTTTCTCGTCTACGTCGTCTATCTTTTTCTCACTGGATGCAGATAAAATAAGAAAGATAGGATCCGGTTTATCCTATCTTAATTTTTCTACTTCTGTATCTTCTTATCTATGTTTCAGTCTGCTTTCTGGATAAATCCAAACAATTCAAAATGTTTTTTTTTTCATTTGGAAATATGAATACTAATAATAATAGGGGCTTGAAGAAAACAGCGTAGCATAAACTAATTAGTAAGTAAATTGTATGATAAAATTTCTCACCTTTCTTTAGACCTATGAATATTCAAATATTTTCATCGAAATTTTATTAAGGTAATATTAACGCTAATTGAATATTTATGAGCCTAACGGGTGATGAGAGGATACTTTTCCAGGTTGCAAAATAAATTTCAATGAAACTAATTGAATATTCTTTGAGCAAAGAGAAAATGAGAATGTTTTACCGTTCCTGTAAATTAGACTGAAAAAGGAATTTGCTGTTCCTGGTGCTTCATTTCTGTGTTAACTACGTTTGAGTCGTTCAACATATTTCCATTCGTTAAAACAATTATCAAAATACTGTGGAAAATGTTGTCAAGAAGATTTTCGCTGTATGCGTCTTTTGTTATTTAGAAAAATATTGCAAATTTGCAATCAAAAACATTTCTTTCTTCGTTTAATTTACATTATTCTGGATACTTCCGCAACAGGTTGAACAAAAATTATCGGAATTTGGATTCTTTCACAGAGCTTTGCGGATTAGTGAGTGCATCAAAGCAAAATGGAGATGAAGAAAATATTTTGAATCTGTTCTCAGATTATCTACATCTGGTTTGAAATCTCTTGAGTGTCACCCATTCAGGAAAACATTAATTCGTTTTTTCACTTCAAAACTGAGACCTTTAAACTCAAGAACCATACCAGGGTATTTAGCTGCATGTCTACAATGGATAATTGAAATCAAATAAATAGAATACTATATGACAGAATTACAATGATCCTCATCTTATGCTTGAAAGTTCAGTCAACTTAATGTTTCTAGGCACTTATTTCAATATTTGCCATTATTTTACTTACGTTTGGTGCAGGACCACGTTTTTATATTGTAAGATTCTGTACTGTGTACTTTTAAGTTACAGTTAAGGTTGAAGAATCTTAAGAACTGGTAAGCGAATAATCGCTTGGGTTCGTAACATAGAGACGACACAAAAGAAGGGTGAAATTACCCTTTATTATTTCAATAAAGTTTAACATAACTCCGTCTTGGAAGTTTACAATAAAGCCGTCACTCGGTCTTGAACTTAGGAAACTAAGAACTAAACTTAACTAATCTTAACTAAACAGATATAGACGAAGGTATCAAGATTCTAATCGAGTTGGGCCCTTAAAGCTGAATAACGGCGAAGCTATCAAGGGCCTAAAGTACGGCCGAGGGTAATAATAGCTTAAGAAAGGATAGCCTAACAAGGGGGACGCGTGCTAGCCACAATCACTGGTTCTCTCTGACGAAGACAGTAGAACTTCGCGGTTAAATACGTCTCCTCAATTTGCATCCAAACGCGTTTCTAAATCTACGTTCTGGTCGGAAGTTGTAAGTTGGAATTCAGGAAGACAGGAAAGGAACGAAAAATTTAACTGTTAAGAATATTAACATAATCCTTACAATATATCATATCCATTCACTTTTACTCTCAAAACAGTTGTAGAAAAAACTGGTAAAATGCTTTCATTTGACATGTAAAAATGATTACCGGATTTCCGAATTTTCGCCCCTGAAACACAGACATTTGCTGTAACGCTCGTAACATTTCTGAAAACCTTGGTAGAACGACACTTGTCACAGAATGGACGTTCTATCATTTTGCATAGTTTGAATTGCCCCAAAACAGTTACCTTCGCATAAATATTACAATAAACGAGTACAAAGGAGACAGAAGCTTAGAAAGGCTGCAAAAAATATGGCTATGGTGTGAAAAAAAGCTGCTTTTGATCAAAGAATGTCAAGTGCTTCTGCTAAAAGTGCGGCAGCGGGCCGAATGGTAGAAAATTTGTTCATTCAATTTAAGCTGCAACAAGAATTCCGGAAGGATGTCACTCCATATATTTACTTTAAACAGAATAGTTAACGCCTTTTAACAGCTTAATTTAAATTTTGAAAATTTCAAACACATGTAATGACTTTTGCACGAACATCTCGAACTGAGGAGTGAATATCAAACTGAAACTTCTTTCTCACTTATTTGAGATCTTTAAACATTTGAATTAGGAATAAGCAGAAAAGCAATGCATGGTATGAATTTAACTGTTTCATTTGCCTTAAGTATAAAATGTTTCTTCGCTGGTTAAAAAAATATATTATATTTAATTGGTCTTAGTTCAGTGTATCGCGATTATTACTGAAATGTTCATAGTCTAAAACAGAACTTGGAACATCAGTTGAAAATCTTTCACTTGAATCCATTTTGTTTGCAAATGATAATAGGTACAAACTGCTTACAATAATCGTTCTCTAAGATAATGGCTGTAACGGATACTTTGTCTTTTCGTTCAAACTTCCTGAACCCACCAAAAGTTCAAGCAAAGTGTAATAAAATAATTAGATTATACTTGATTTCAACCATGCAATTTTGCAAAAAGGTATTAAAGCATGAATCATAAATTTTTATCGCATGCAAAACTGCAAATTTTACGTGATCATCATTTAAATATTTTATGTCTTTACATTTACATCCAATATGGATAGAGTACTGCCGAAACTCTCTTGACGATTCTCGTATTTAATACTGTATTAGCGAAGACAGAATTACATGTAACAAAATCATACCTGAACTTTGGCATTGCGAGTCCAAGCTAAGTTCTCGTCTGACTTGCGTAGCCCCTGCACCCCTAGGTACCCCAGCAGAGGGGTGGTGCTGCTCCATTGATGCTGGAGGTCAGGAAGAAGAAATAATATTCACCACTGACATCTTGGTCCCGCTAACAATTATTTAATGAAATATCTGAAAAAAAGACAGTTCACGAGGATTAATAACATGCTTATTTATACTGATTTTCATTACATACAAGCACTTATATATATACGTAATGATTTTTAAAATGCGTAGATGAAGACATTGAGACTTTAACAGCTTCCGACATTGCTTAGATGGCTGAGAATACCGTAGTGGCTTGAAGGTGCCTGAGTAGAAAAGCAATGACACAATTTAACACAATGGATCTTCAATTACAATCTTTATTTTTTTACGAATAACAAACCATTCTTTTGCAGACGAGATGTTTCCTAATTATATTGGAATACAAGTTGCATTTTGAAGTACGACGTCCTTTTAAGCAAGTAAGCGGCAGCAGCATGGATGTAAAGGGTCTTGCCAGCAGGAGAGCTTATGCCAAAAAGGGGAGAGTGTCATACTGCTTCAGAGGAAGAAGGTTGGGAAGGGGTAAAGTTTCAGTTCAGAGTTTTGGTTTACAATTAATTTCATTGGACGAGAGGCATCTGCATTAAAACGTTACGTAACATAGAAAAATCTGGAACCTGTGAGAAAAGATGAACCCAGGGGGAGATCACCAAATTTAGAATTTAGTCAATTTTGAGGTCGCCAGTTATTTTTTAAGAACAGCTATTATATTTTGTTATACTTTACATCCCAGGGGAAGATCACCAAATTTAGAATGTCAATTTTGAGGTCGACAGTTATTTTTTAAGAACAGCTATTATATTTTGTTATATCTTACATTTATATATATTAAGATACAATAACACGCCCAACAAATCTTAATTTAGAAGTCAAACAACAAAAAATGAGGGTTATATTTTCAAATTTTCACAGGAATATCTGTGAAAATTTGAAAATATAACGCTGATTTTTGTTGTTTGACTTCTAAATTAATATATATAGTAAGAAATTTAGAACTAAAATTTCACATGTTTAACATTTTTAATATTTTAAAATTAACTGTTCCATTTATACGTTTATTCGAAATTTATTAATTATGAATTTCAATTTCTGGTCTTTGTGAAATTTTAGTTCTCATTTAGTTCTAATTTTAGCTATTATACTTACTTTATGTCTTAAATGATAATTTTTCTGCAGCTTTATGCGCGAAAATGACTAGGCATGTTTGTGTTTTGTTTTGAAAAGAATTGTTTTGTAATTGTGATATATATATATATATATATATAATTATATAAAATTTTTATACAGATATATTATGTAGAAAATAAAGAAAAAGAATATTGAACTCATTAATGGTAAACAGCTTAAACGCTTTTTGCATATTCAAAATTAGCATGAAGCTATCGTTCTTACACTGCATTCCTCCATGTTGACATGCGCCATATAACAAAAATTTTGTATAATTCTTTTCTTCACGATTGAAAAAAAATTTACTGTTTGGAATAATTACTGGAATTATTCGTATTTTTTAAATATAGTTGTAAAATGTAAAGTATATTTATTGGTAAGTCGCAACAGGATAAATTATAATCTGATGAACTCAAAGTCAAAAAATAGTTTACATAATTAAGACACAATAACACGCCGAATAAATACTAATTCAGAAGTCAAACAACAAAAATCAGCGTTAATTTACAAAATTTTCACAGGACTAGTTTCGATGGTTTTACCGAACCATCATCTTCAGCTGCAAAACCGCAAAATATTTTGCGGTTTTGCAGCTGAAGATGATGGTTCGGTAAAACCATCGAAACTAGTCCTGTGAAAATTTTGTAAATTAACGCTGATTTTTGTTGTTTGACTTCTGAATTAGTAATAGTTTACATACTTGTTATTTTAATTATAATTCATATTTGAATTTGGAATTTAGCTTTAAAAAACTTAAATAAAATTAATTCTCAATATTGAATCCGTTTTTGTTTTTAGTTGGGCAATTCATCTAAGTATAACTCAGAAAACCGGCTCCGCTCTTCTCTGCTCCTTAAAAAGATACAAAAAGAATTATCAAGTTAATTAAATGTTTTGCTTGTGATTTAATTCTATTCTATTTGCAGGGTTGGTTTCCTGTTTTTTGCTGATTGTTTGCTTTTTTGTTAACAGGCAGCTTAGAATTATTGAGTTGATTGAACTCCTTACTTTTTCTATTTTATTCACATTAATATTAATAGTTGAAAAGATTAACAAAAATCCTAGTTTTGTTCTCTCCCTTTCTGTGTGTTTACATCATATACATCATATATATATATATATATATATATATGTATACTAGCTGATACCCGCCCGCTTTGCTGGGCACACTAACTATTTGAATGTAAACCTAGACTTCTTATATGGACGAAATGTGTAATTCCGAACATAATTAATGTAAACTTTTTAAAGTCGGGGAATATAGTGTAAGTCAGTGAATCTGTCATATGTACAGATTTCAACATCAACCATGAGGTACTGAGTATTGGGATGCGTCCCCTTTACTTAACGTGTTGGGATTCCGAGTAGTCCTACACCACGAAAAATTTGCCAATATAAAACTAAGGTTTATATATATTTAACTGTTATAAGTTTCATGAAAATAAATGTTATTATCTTTGTTATCAAATTTTTGGTACTTTTCCGTTTAGCTGGCGCAGATCTCGCCAAGCAGACTTTATTGGCGACAACATACATTATACACATAAAAAAATGTTAACAAATGTTAGTTCTAAAATTTTTTTATTTTGAACGCATAAGCATTTTAATATCGCTTAAAATTTTGGGTACTATTCGGTTTCGAGGGCCGTAAACTATTGTTGATACCAATGCTGGCAAAAATAATTGCGGCAACCCTAATAATTGCGGCAAGAAAGAAAGTATAATAGTAAATAACTATCTAAGATTGATGTTTTAATTTACATGAAATGTTAATTTCATATAACACTTTTTATTATTATAATTTATATGAAAAAGGCTAACCATGACTGAGTGGAAGCATAAGAGTAAATAACTATTTCAGATCATTATTATAATTTATATAAAAATTCCTAAACATAACTGAATGGATGCCTGCATCGCTATTTCGCTACCGACTTATCGCTATAGCATAATTTCATCTCGTTGGTTGTTCAAACGTAATTTTCTATAATGAATGATGCCTTTTCTTTGAAAATATTCTCGGTAAAGTGCAGAATCGCTCACTTATTTGTTCGCCGCTTTTTACAAGGGTAAAAACAATTGGATTTTTGTCAATTTTCCTTTACTCTTTAAGTGAAAATAGGTCGATGTGTACATAGATAATGTCAAGGGTGTGCGCAGTGCCATTTTTGTGCAATTCTAGAATTTTTTTTTTAAGTGAAAATAGGTCGATGTGCACAAGGATACCGAGTATGTGCAGTTCTTAAAAACGAATCAAGCAGTGGATGATTCTGCGCTTTACCCAAAATTCTATTGCCGACTTTTCGTCATGGGCAATTAGTTGTCAAATCCATAGGATATCAAAAAAGGATTTAAAATAAAAAAAAGTATTTAAAAAATAGTATAAAAAAAAGTATTATTTCAATGGCGTCTTAAGAAATATAGAACTATATAAACTTACGCGATCTGAAATCAACGCGTACGCTAGATTTGGCGCGCTGTTAAATGGCCGCGTTTGCTAGATTTGGCGCTTTTGCGCATACATTTTCGCTGCAATTGTTTTACGGCCCTCAAAACAGAATAGTACCAAATTTTGTAAAAAGCCAATAAATAAAGACAATAAATTTGTAAAAAGACATTAATTTAAGAATTACCATGTTTTTATGTCTCAACATCCTGATTTGCCTGTTCATATCACGTGACCCCAAGTGATCTCATCACACTTAAAATACGCTACAAAAATCTAATTCTCTCAGTAATTCTTTTTAACATTAATTTTTTAAGTTAAATCTTAATTTGAAGTACAAGTTTAAATACAAGAATAATTTCAATTCGTACAAATAGCTTACTCAGAAATTATGTAAAATCGCAGTGCTTTACTTCGCTAGTGCATTCTCCTTAAGAATGGATGAATTAAATCCTTGACTTTGCCTTTTCTATATTTTCGCCTTCGGATGAGCGGTGCGATTGCATCCTAATGGACTTAATTATCGCGAATGGACTTAGGGCATAAAATTGAACTATCTGGTAAAACTTCTATGTAGTTATATGCCAGTATTGAAAGAAACAATCAATCTGATAAGAAATGGCTGCGAATTGTTTTGAAAAAGAGGCGTAAAATGTTACCAGCGAGGATATTACGTTTGGGTCAGTTGTACCATTATTGGCGAATTTATCGCCTGCGCCGGCAAAACGGAAAAGTACCAAATTTTTAATCAATTATAATTATATGTGCTTGATTTTTTATGTATGGCAATTTTCATAAATAACAACAACATTTTTATTTTTCATCACAATAATTTATTTCTCTTAATAATAACATTTATTTTCATGAAACTTATAATAACAGTTAAATATAAATGTTGTTATTAATCTTATCATTTAAATGTTGTTTGTATTCATAGGATAGACGAAGTTATTTACCAATTTAATAATTTTAAAAGAAAATGCATTCATTGGCAACATTGTATATAGCTAGTTTTGGCAACAATAAAAGAAAATTCTGAACTTGGATTTGTAAACCAAATGTATGAGAAACTCCTATTGTATAACAAAAATCTATTTTGGACAGGATTTACGTAAAATTCGTTCTTAGTGCGCGTCGACATCGTGGAATGAGTAACTATGCAAAATTTCAAGTCACTCTGATGTATAATTTCGGAGATCTCGTGATAAATCAGTGGTATTTCGTCTATGTATATATATCTATATCTATATCTATCTATATATATATATGATGTACCAGCTTTAGTCGTAGCTTAAATTAGCAGACGATAAGTTTAAAAAAAAACAGGATCCATTTATTATTATTCAGGAGAAATAGCAGTTACAAAATCAGATATCTGGAGTAATTAAAAAGAATTACTAATAACTTTTTGTATGAAGTTTACTGCATCGTGACATTTAAGGAAAAGCCCCGATATTCTTTTGCGAGTCCT